GGCCTGAACTCTGGGCCTGGGCGCTGTCCCTCAGCTCTTCAGCTCAAGGCTAGTACTCTACCACTTGAGCCACAGCACCACTTCCAGCTTTTTTCTTTTTGCTTATGTGATGCTGAAGAATCTAACCCAAGGCCTCATACATGTAAGGCAAACGCTCTACCACTGAGCCACCTTCCCAGCTCCCCCTCATATTATTCTTTAAATGTTTCTGTTTTATTTTTTTGTTGTTGCTGTTGTTAGTGGGGCTTAACTTAAACTCAGAGCCTGGGCGCTGTCCCTGAGCTCTTTTGCTCAAGGCTAGAGCTCTACCACTTTGAGCCACAGCTCCAGTTCTGGTTTTCTGGACTTTCCTGCCAGGGTTGGCTTTCAACTGGAATCCTCAGATCTTAGCATCCTGAGTAGCTAGGATGTGAACCACCAGTGCCCTGGTGTTTTAAATTTTATTAAAGAAAAAAAAATTTTGTTGGTTGTGGGCCCTGGACTCGGTGCTTAGGTGCTGTCATTGAGCCTCCTTGTGCTCAAGGCTAGCACTCTGCCACTTGAGCCACAGTGCCACTTCTGGTTTTTGAGTGGTTAATTGGAAATAAGAGTTTCATGAGGCTGGGAAGGTGGCTCAGTGGTAGAGCATTTGCCTTGCATGCATGAGGCCCTGGGTTCCATTCCTCAGCATCACATAAGCAGAAAAGGCTGGAAGTAGCACTGTGGCTCAAGTGTAGAGCACTAGCCTTGAGCTGAAGAGCTGAGGGACAGCGCCCAGGCCCAGAGTTCAGGCCCCATGACTGACCAAAAAAAAATAAATAAAGTTTCATGGGGACTTTTCTGCCTGGGCTGGCTTCGAACTTCGATCCCCAGATCTCAGCCTCCTGAGTAGCTAAGATAACAGGGGTAAGACATCTAGCTCAAATTTTAACATTTTTCCATATACATTTTTATTGTCAAAATACTGTACAGTTTCGTGAGTAGGGTAATGAGTGCATTTCCTATTAAGCATTGCATTGTTACCTCCTTTGTTTTTCCCCTACCATTCTTTCCCTCCCCACTTAATTTTTAAAAAATTATTTATTTATTCATTTTTTGCTGGGCCTGGGCCCTGTCAGACCCTGAGCTTCTTTTTGCACAAGGCTAGCACTCTACCATTTGAGCCACAGTGTCATTTCTGGCCTTTTCATTTTATGCAGTGCTGAGGAATGTAACCCAGGGCTTCATGTATGCTAGGCGAGCACTCTACCACTGAGCTACCTTCCCAGCTACCCAGTTCAAATTTTAATAATAAAAATTTCTTAAGTATAAATTGGAAGCCAGGTGGCTTTGGCTAATGGCCTGTAATCCTAACTACTCAGGAGGCTGAGGCCTGGGGCCTGTAATTTGAAGCCAGCTCACACAGGAAATTGGTGAGACTCTTTATCTCCAACAAATTACCAAAAATATTGAAGTGGAGCTGTGGCTGAAGTGGTAGAGCCTATGCTTGAGCAAAAAAGCTCAGGGATAGCATCTAGGCCGAGTTCAAGCCCCAGGACTGGCAAAACAAAAATGAAAATTAAAAAACACAAATTGGAGGAAAGTTATTACAACAATCTAGGCACACAATGTTGGACTAAACCTGGGTCAAAAGAGCAAGGGCAGGGATGGGATAGGGCAATGGAGGAATGCAAAGGAAGGAATGACATGATCCAGAAAAAGCGTAATGTACTCATCACCTGACTTATGAAATGGTAACCCCTTTGTACACCTTAAAAATAACAAGAAAATTATATATTTTCTTTTTTTGGTTCCTGTCGTGGGCCTGAACTCTGGGCCTGGGCGCTGTCCCTCAGCTCTTCAGCTCAAGGCTAGCGCTCTACCATTTGAGCCACAGCACCACTCCTGGCTTTTTTCTTTTTGCTTATGTGGTGCTGGGGAATCGA